AACAGGCTTTAGATAAGCCAGTCCTTTATTAGTATATAAGTGCTTTGTTAATAGTTCTATCGATCGAAGTGGAGTCGAAAGAGATGAGTTTTCAGTCGGAAAATGTGTAAGCTTTCTGCTGTTCTGATTTCAATGGGGAGCTCATTCCGATTCCACTACAAGGCTATCGTTCGACTCCTTCTGGATCCAAAGTCTTGATTACAAGTCTCATCGTTTCTTATAAAACAACAAATCCCCTTTGAACAGCTCGTAGATGTAACCAGCAGCGATAGCCTTGTAGTCGGCCAGAACCAGCTATTTCCTCCTGCAGAAAGGAGACAATCTCCTCCAAGTCCGTTTGGTTCTTTCTTCGAAATAATAGACAGTTTCTTGCACAACCTTTTCAAAGTTCTAATACTTATGATAATCTTATGCTGATGTGCCAAAAGATTAAGTTTTTCGTTATTTGAGAAACCTAAACTAAAGTACTGCTTCACAAGATGCTCCACATTCCTCATTGTATTGCAGGACGCTGCTGTTGTCTCCTTCTCAAGTCACTTATGAAACTATGACTTTAATCCATAGACTATATATATAAAGCTTTAATCTCGTAATTATTACTTTATTCTCGTAACATTACGACTTTATTCTCGTAACTACGACTTTATTCTCGTAATATTACGTCTTTATTCTCGAAATCTCTGTTTTTTTTGTCTAAGTGTGGCCCTAATACTCCGTCGTAGTTTTGCCTCGTGCATTATGAGATATGTTATTATGCCTGACGTTTCATCAAAACATTACTCCAATGTGCTTGCCTAAAGTTCCTCATGATTTCTCTCTCTGGACAGAGCCAAAGACTTCCCTTAGTTACATTTCTTTAATGACCACAAGTCAACATCTTTATCTGTAAAGACGGCCAACACTGAAACACACTGCAAAAATAGATATTGAGTTTTAAATGTTCAAGATCGGCACATGTCCGCAATATCAGGTATCTAACTTTGTACTTGCGGGGGACAACAGTTAAAAATAGACTCACACCCCGAGACTGCCGGCTCAAGCCTGGACTCATACTGAAGTCCTGCAACACACGTCTGAATCCTCAACCGCACGGCTATTACAAGGGTACGTACTACAAGCATGGCTGAAAAACCCCTTCACAGGCTGTCAACTGTTACAATACCTCAAGTAATATTCATATTTTTCAGCATGTGTGAGTCAGCTGTTAGGTAACTTGTTAGACATGTGTTTGTGGTCTTCCTTTGGGAATGGTAGATGTTGTCAATTCCACTGCGTTGTCTGACTGCTGACAGGTTGACACTTGGCTGCATTATAAACATATCATACAATTTGTGAAGCATCAGATTTGAATCCCTAAAGTGATTAACAATCAAAATTACTCAACAATATTTGTATTTGTTTTTCTGCTTATTTGTAGCCCTCGGTGTTGAGAATGTCTTGAATTATGAGGCCTCTCGTTTTCTGATTTCTAAAACCGCGTTTCTTATTTACTCGAGCTCTAGTCTTTCAATCAAGTTGTTCACATACAGAGGTTTTAAAGAAGCAGTGGTCTCTTGGGGCGTGTTGTGTGCTTGAGGACGGATCTATTTTGGCACAGAGAGCCAAGTGGACATCGAATTACAAGTTCTTGCTCTCAGTCACCCAGGCGCTGACAGCTTTATTGTTTTTTTTATGTTGTTATAGATCAAGTCCTATCTAATGCATTAATCAACCAAATCAACAACAACAGTTATTTGTTATTCATATAAAACATTTCAAGTGCCTCTGAGAGTATGATACCACTTAGAGAATTGGGACATTAGTATGCACACGATAATTAAAAAGGTAAATATGGAATCAGTGTATGGCATATCACACAGATTGGCTTCATTTAAGGAAAACAATCTATAACATTAATATTTAAAAAAAAGGTTTAATGCATGTTGCAGCTTGAGCCTTGTGTGAAATGTGTTTACAGACTATCCAAGGTGTTTGTCAAGTCAGGATCAGTATTCCTTGGTAAACACTTCAGACTTGCTCTAGGTGTCCTTCACTGCAGCAGGAATGTGACGAATGCAGGTCATGGGTGAATATGTGCTGGTATATTTCCAGTGTCGTTTGTCATCGGTTCCCCTCCTGCAAACTTGTATATCAGGGTGCATGTTTTGAAGCCTCCCCTTCAATACTTCACATCAGGCTTGTGCACTTATATTAGGTTGGGCAATGTGAATCTAATATGGGTGCCCTTTAGACACACATGTGCTTTTACAGTCACATTAAGTCTCTAAATATTGCAGATGTAATGAAACCCAGCTGAAATATTTAGAATCAACCCCAGTGTTACTCATCAGTTGCATGTCATTTTGATTCTATATATTTTTAGATTCTTAGATTTACTTGAAAACTGCTTAAAAATAAACTTCTTCAAATGTGTTTTAAGACATTTTAAAGTTAGGAGTATAATGCAAAATGTGTGCATTAATGTAGTTGTTTAGTAAATACTTACATCAGAAGAACCTGACATGTTTTACTACATTCTCAATATACATGAGAATGTAGTCTGGGTCTGGTAACAGCACAACAACACGCACTGGACATCTTTATCAGCTACAGGGTAACAACAAGGAAGGTTTCCTGTTGATAAGGTATGTCAAGGGCCCTTTAAAAGCCTCCAAAATAGATGCAACATGCCTTTTAAAAAAAAGAGATATCTCCTGAAAGTAACATAAATAGATAGAGGTAGATAGTGGACCTTACTTCCAATTACTCTATATAACAAATCACCTCTGGCTGGAAGAGAACTCTCTGCTCCAGCTTCTCTTTGGATAACTGGACACGCTGTACATTTATATTTAATTTAATATTCCATTCCCTACACTCTTAATGTATATAATAGCCTGCTTTGTATTGTGTCTAAAGCCCTTCAAGAGTGTTTTATTGTGAGAGTTTATAGATTTTTTATCTTCACTCTATACTGTATATCTTCTACTTTTTAATGCTGTTTTAATTCTATTTTGAGATGTTTAAATCCTAGTA